CTGACTGACTGTCTGTCTGATCGTAGATCTTCCTCTAATTCCAGATAACTTCCAGGACCAGATGAAGAGGGAGCTGGCCTACAGGGAGGAGATGGTCCAACAGTTACAGATGGTGAGACTAATGACAGATCACTGCAGGACAGAGATGAGGTTTGATCATCAGACTCTAGTGTGAGCAGTAACACCTGACGTTAGACTGACTGTACGGTGGAGAGCAGACACACTGAGACACACGGGTTTATGTCCCATATTTATATTGGATCAATTATAGTTCCGCAGTTCAACTCAGAGACGCACCGTGATAATGGGATCGTTCACGTCACGTGACGTCTGCGTTCAATTGTTCATGAAATCAGAAAATCTACGGCGTGACTGAAACTGAAGTGAAGACGTGAAGTGAAGGAGAGTCAACAGGACGCCGTCGTCTCAGCTGATCGGTCCGTCAGAAGACGGAGGCAGTGGTGGAGTCTGACTTTCACGGGTGACCGGTTCCTCCGTCGAGCGTTTCCGTCCACATCCATCACAGCAGCAGCTGGCAGACGTTCTGACAGACGCTGTTTGTCTCCGCTGTTTCTGACACACGCAGCTGCACACGCCTGCTGAAAAAAAAACAAAACAACAAAAACGTTCACATGAAAGTTCCTCAGTGACGGCCGCGTGTGGGCGGAGCAGATGAAGATTCTGACACTGAGAGAATGTTAATGTTGAAGTGACAGAGTGAACGTTTCATTTTCTGGGACACAACAGGAAAAATAGGAATTGTGTTTTATTTGTTTCCAGTTAGAATTGAAGAGAAATAAAAAAAGTTATTTTCCAAAAGTGTCCGAGCTGAAAACTTCAAGTACTTTAATGAATACTCTGTGTTTCTCAGATTCCCTACGCAAACCTCCTCAGAAAAGAGAAGATCAGCTCACACCTGAACAAGTAGCTGAAGAAGAGTGAGTTTTCAACTAGTAATGATAAACTACTAACTAACCCTAACCTGTTCACGTTTAAGTTTGATTTGTTTTTCTATTCTATTCATTTCTAATATAATTCTGGACAATAATGATGACAATGATCATCTGAGTTTAATCATTTAACAACGGTGTTTGTTTTCCTCCAGGGGGCGCTCCAGAGAAAACGTCTCCACTGTGAGAAGAAACCACTGGGACGACATGCTGCTGCTGGGACTGTCATCAGTGTGAAGTATGGGTACTGTACTGTACCGTACTGTACTGTACATAATGTATATATAAATATATACTGTACCAGTGAGGACCAGATTCATTTTCTACAGAGGACTAGTGATCTCACACACACACACACACACACACACCTACCTGTGTTGGTGCTCAGACTCCAACTCCACCAGGACCAAAGTGAACTTTGAACTTTTCTGTCCTTTGACGACCGACACGTGGACGTTGTTTATTAATGACCAGATCCAGTGGTTGATCAGACGCTGTCGCTGCTGCTGAACTGTTGCTGCTGAGGAGAAAAAGACAAATTGTAAAACACACTTTATTTATTCCTGTCAGTATTAGATTCTGTTCATCGTGTCTCGTTGTTTATTAAAGAAAAAAAAAAGGAATTTTCTGTGAAAACAAAATCCTGATCAGAGACGGAACCAAACTGGAATCAGACGTTGATTGATTAAACCCAGACTTTAAGTTGTTCTGAACTTGACGATGCCAGATGAAGAACATGAACAGAGGTCAGGGGTCAGGAGTTCTGAACAGTGTTGGATTTTAATGTCATGAACTTCAGTTTTAGTCTTATTTCAGTGCTGGGGTTGATGCTGGTTGTTATTTAAAAATGATCTAATGCCACATAAAAAAATGAAGAATTTTTTTTTACCAGCAGCCTGAAGATCTCCTCCACCTAAATCCTCTCAACATCATTTTAACCCAAAAAAATGTCACATTTTCACGAGGAGTGTCAGTGTTGATCCACCTGTAGTCATTTTCATGAGGAGTGTCAGTGTTGATCCACCTGTAAATGATTTAACCCAACTGTAAAAAAACCAAACCTTTCTGTATGTGAGAAGGATGAACATCTGAATCTGTCTGTGTTTGTTTGTTTTGAATGAAATCATTATTTATTACAGTATTAAAGAGGACGATGGTGTCGTCCAGCTGATGTCAGAGAGATTCTGACGGATGGATATGAATTTGTCATTTAGTGGAAATAAATGGTTATCATCATGGATTCATCTATTGATGTGTAAATTAGACGTTTATATAAAATCTGTGACTGTCATCAGAACATGTTGTCCAGGGAAAAACAACCATAAAGTGTTTCATTCACTTCAGCAGAAAATAAATAAAATACTGTCACAGACGTTCTCCACCATGTCAGACGTCTGTAGTTAAAACAGTTGTTGTTTAAAAATGTTCCATTTAGAAATAACTACAAGTTTCAGGGCTAAAAGTTAGTTCAGAAATGACTAGAAAACCCGTCCGTCCAGACGTTCAGTGAAGTGGTCAAAGTTTGGTCTGGTGAAAAGAAAATAAATAAATTATATGTAGCCAAATGTTACTAAATAACAAAACATAAATAAATCAATAGTTTTTGCCGATAATACGGGAACAAAGCCGGGTCAATATGTAACCAAAGTTAGCTTAAAAACATTGATTGTGAATTTAGCTGAAAGCTATTTGTACGAAAAATGTTCCCGTTGAGAAATAACAAAAACGTTTACGTAATTGAAACGAAAACATTAAGAACATAATTTTGTGTTTAATTTTACAGAGCTGTGCGATTAAAGCATAATAAAGATAAGTTAACGATCATATCAATGTCTATGAAGATTCTCAGTCACCAGGATGACGTCGTGCTGCATCCACTGCGCGACATTAGCTGCTGGTTTACGGCAGTGGCATCTGCGGGAGTGGCCGTAGAAGAAGACGCAGCCGCAGCAGCAGCCGGAGGAGAATTTGCCAGCATGGCGTTTACTCTGTACTCCCTCATCCAGACCGCTATTCTCTGCACGAACGCGATCGCTGTGCTGCACGAAGAAAGGTTTCTCAGCAAGAGTGAGCGCTCCGTCGTATTTTACACACGTTTTCCTCACATTTTTATTTCAAATGTTAGACGTACATCATGCTAAACTCTGTTAGCTTTAGGTGGAACTGGTGTTCTGAGGCACAAACATCTGTTTCTCCTGCCTGTTGAGAGAAACAAAGTGTTTTATTAGATAAAAATGTTTGCTTTTTAATTATTTTTTATCTTAAATCTCTTTATTCAAATAATACAAATTTATAAAGAGATTAAGTAGTTAAATGCATGAAAAGTCACAGTTCTGTTGACTTAAGTCCTGTATGTTTGTGTCGTTGACGTCGTCCGTCAGTCGGCTGTGGTGTCGACCAGGCGGTTGGAGGTTTTGGAGATGATCCCGGAGTCAAAGCCCAAATCCTGAATCTTATCCGCTCCGTCAGGACCGTAATGAGAGGTTGGTGGAAATTAATGAACTTTTTATATTAGTAAATACGTTAACAGTTCATTTAGTTTCAGTCCTAACCAGACAAAAGTTTACACATTCTACTGCATTAATAAACAATGAGAACCATGTGGTTTGATTAATAATATATTTTTTATTTTTGTGTACAGTGCCTTTAATTATAGTAAATTCAGTCTCCATCGTCTTGTTGCTGCTGTTTGGTTAACGCTGACCCTGAGGAGCAGACAAACACACACGACTACACACATCTGCACAGACCCACACTGACCTGTGTGTGTGTGTGATTCAAGGACCTCTGGATTGACGTGGTGAAATATTCAAGACAACAACTTTTTAAACTGTTGACTTGAGTGTCGTGGACACAGATGGAGCCGTTTGTGGACAGTTCTTTTTAAGGTTGTACGTTGTGAACTTCATCCTCACTGAGGTGTGAAATTGTTCTGTTTTTCTAAAACAATTTCATGTGTAATGTAACATTTTTGCAGCACTCCAAATAATGTAATTTTGTATGTGAACTTGTTATTGCCAAAACGTTCCTCATGGTGGCGTGAGAGCCTGAAATAATAAAGAATGTTTTACACACTAATTTTATAAATGTTTTATTTTTTTCACCTTATTACTTCATTAGTTATTTTGTATTTGCATCACTGTTTGTCTGGACATAATAACAGAGAGACAGGAAGAGGACGTGCTGCATTCAGGGGCACGTGTTGATGGTGGACATTTGAGAACTAAAGTCACTTTGATCTGTGATTAGTCAGAATTTACCTGAGTGACCAGAGGACACGGGACATGGACATGAAGGATATACAGTTTATAAGGTTTAATAACACAAGGACACAGCTTTGAATTTCTGTACACAATTTAAAAATTCTATAGATTTTACTTTATTTAAAGATTTAAAATAAAGTAATAATTAAGTTTAAAACCTTATAAACACAACAGTATTGTCATCGCTCCTTTTCTTTTCACTCCTGTCATCTTCTCCCCACGGTAGCCGGAGCACTTACAACGCCGGAGCAGCAGGTGGCAGCAATTAAGACCGTTGAATCAAAACATCAACAGACGAAGAAGAAAGTGGGCAGCGGAAGCAGGAAGTGGTGCAGCCGCAGTTAACGGAGGCTGGACGGTCAGTCTTATTTCCATGAATTAAACTCTAAAGAATTGTGTTAAACTAAAATAACTTTGATAAACAACAGAAACTACTCATTTATTTATTCATCGAGTTTATATTTACGAAAGAACGAAAGAACACGGTATTAAATCACCTGAGCATCGTTCTGTCTGACTATTAATATTATAACACTCGGTACTTTTATAATTATAAAGTTCCACACGCGTCAAACTTCATATATATATATATATATATATATATATATATATATATATATATAAATGAAGTCAAAATGTTTCATACATGAACTCGACTCAGTGTCCTGTTTTTGTCGATTTAAATACTAGATCAATAAGAAGATATTTAGCCTCAAAATGTTGCCTCAAAAACCCGAAATAACCAATAAAAGAAGATTAACGTCTGAAATGTTTTAGTGATGAAATAAAATCCTGACATCTGTGTTTTTGAATGAATAATCCTGTGAAGTGGTTCCAGTCTGGATTAAATCAGTGTGTAATCTGATCAGTGATGTTAAATGTCCTGTTACAGTCAGAGGTTTAACGATGGTCTTTACAGACTGACGTCTCTGCTCTAACAGACCACATCAAACCAACCACAGACTTCAGCTGCTTCTCAACCTCTGGCTCGTGTTGTGCATCATGGCGGGCAGACGAGCTGTGAAGGCCGTGCTCATTGACCTGAGTGGAACTCTACACGTGGAGGACACAGCTGTAGCGGGGGCCCAGGAGGCTCTGAGCAGGTGGGAGTGGGGGTGGGGGTCACATGAGGAGACAACAGTTTCAGTGGTTCACTTCCTGTTCTGACCCAGAGACATTTTTACTCTAGAATGTTTTTGATTTTGTTGTTGTTGTTGTTGCCAGGTTACGTCAGGCCTCTGTAGCCGTGAAGTTTGTGACCAACACAACAAAGGAGAGTAGGAGGAGTTTATATGAGCGACTGCTGCGTCTCAACTTTGACCTGCAGGTGGCGTATGGTCCAACACTGATGTGTGAACGAACAACGAGTCAGTGTTAGGTTGTGTTCTCTGATGTTCCTGTTCTTCTGGATTCTTCTGTGCATCAGGAACAGGAGATCTTCACCTCCGTCAGTGCAGCCAGGAGTTTGTTGGAGCAGAACCAACACAGACCACTGCTGCTGCTGGAGGACAGCGCTCTGGAGGACTTCACAGGTACGGGCAGTGTTTGTAGATACACTGACCAATCACAGGCCTTATGACACCATGACATCACCATCAACTGTACCTTCAGGTATCGACACGTCAGAACCAAACGCTGTCGTCGTCGGTCTCGCTCCCGATCACTTCAACTACCAAACACTCAACACGGCGTTTCGGTGAATCACGTAATTTTTCAGAAAATACATTTTCTGATCATTTATCTTCATGAAAACAGAGTGTCGTTGTGAAGACATTTTAATTTTTCTCCTGTTTGTTGAGTTCATACTGTGGTGGTCTGCTGCCTGCTAACACTCTGACCTCTGACCTCTCCCCTCAGGATGATTCTGGACGGCGCTCCTCTCATCGCCATCCACAAGGCTCGCTACTACAAACGTAAAGACGGTCTGGCGCTCGGCCCCGGGCCCTTCGTGGCAGGACTGGAGTACGCCACGGGCTGCAGAGCGTCTGTGGTGGGGAAACCAGAAAAGGCTTTTTTCACTCAGGTCAGAAGGTCACGGTTCTTTCTCTGTTTGGTTCAAACTAAACTAATTCAGTGATTGATCTCCGACCCGTTTCCCTCCAAAAGGCCGTGTCAGAGTTAGGCTGCAGCCCCAGTGAAGCCGTCATGATCGGAGACGTGAGTCACTTTTTACATTTGTCAGAACAGGTCGGTCTGTAGTTTGATTGATTTTTTGGTGTTTTTCGTCTGCAGGATGCAAGAGATGATGTGGGCGGAGCTCAGGACGCAGGCATGCTGGGTATTTTAGTGAGAACTGGTGAGATGGAAACACGTGCGTTGGTCGTTGCACTGAGCACAGGTTCAGTTTGGTCATGTGACTTGTGCGTTTTTTTTTTCAGGTAAATACAGAGAAGGTGATGAGAACAAGCTCCGCCCCCCACCTCACCTGACCTGTGACAGTTTCCCTGAGGCTGTAGATCACATCCTGAAGAACCTGCTGTAGAACCTTTAGAACCTGGACAGTCTATCAGTTCAAGAAACACTCTGTTAATCAGTCCTTTAGTTTTTACTGAGAAGTTTAATAATGAAGAGAACGTCTTCATCATCATCATCTTCATCATCATCATCATCATCGAGTCTGTGGTTCTGGACGTAGACCTGAGGTCCACACAGGTTCTAAATCGTCTCTTTAGGTAAAATATGCTGTATGTAAAAAATAGATAAAATTCTGAGACATTAAAAAAGTCAACTGCTGACATGAACAGTAGATGGCGCTCCAGGGACGACTGTGGTGCTGACCCAGACCCAGACCCTGAGCTGGAACGTTGGCTCTCTCCCTCTTCTGTCCTCCTCTGGTGTCAGACGGACTCGTACTCTCGCTCCCAGGCCGTGTACTTGTCCATCAGGTTTCGGGCTGAAGGTTTCGTGTGTGCGATCACTTCTAAGAAGTCGGCCGTCGTCACCGTCTCTAACCGGATGGTGGACATGGTGGCGTCCTCTGTGGACACAAACACAAACCAGGTCGTTCTTTCACCGTGACGTGACGTTGACCGACACGTGTTCATTTCCTGACCTCTCACCTCTGTAGTGCGACTCCAGGAAGTCGAAAATCTTGCGGACTGGTCTCATGGCCGACTCCTTACAGACCAGTTGGATGTCGGAGCCGGAATAACCGTCTGTGTTCTGACACACAACGACAAGCCTTAAAAATAACTCGTTGTGGAGGACCACCCTCCGCCCCCGCCCCCTACTTTTGTGAGGACATTTCTCTAGAACTAGTTTTGTTGGAAACTGTTCATTAACATCCAGTGACATCACAGAAGAAATGGAACAAAGGAAAGGAGGGAAGGTCAAAAGGTCATCCGTCTTTAATGATTCTCTAACAAACCTTCGCCAGTGTTTCGTAGTCCAGCTCCGTCCGAAGCTCCACCCCCGCGGTAGAGTTCAGGGGAGGCAGCCAATGGGAGATCATGGCTCTACGAGCTGGTAAACATGGAAGACCCACCAGGATCCTCTTCTCTAACCTTCTCAGCATGGCGTGGTCCAGTTCCCTGAGGGACAGACGGACAGAGACAAACGTTTGACGTCCGCTGCAAAAAAACAAAAGAGTTGATTCTGAGGCTGCGTTCACGCCGCCCGCTGTTGTTGACGTCACACGCTGTTTGACTGAGATAAACATGGATGACACGTCACCACGTCGAGACGTTCACTCTACCATCAGTCAGAGCTGGTGCTGCTGTTTAAGTTCAGACCACCAGGGGGCAGACTAGCATTGATGTGTGAGGAGAAAGTGAAACCGTCTGTGTGACTGTCTCACTTTGATGACGTCACAGTCGGATTAACCGAGCGTTCAGACCGAGGTCAAGTTGAAAACACCTCAGGTCTGGATCTGAACCAGACCTGGATCCGTTTTTTTATGCTTGTCTTTGGACCAGTATTTACCAGGGCAGGTTGGACGCCGCCAACACAAACACCAGATCATCCGACTTGACCAGTCCGTCCATCTGGACCAGCAGCTCCGTCTTCATCCTGTAACTGCTCTCATGTTCTCCACTGTGAACAGAAACAACGCCACCTTCAGTTCATCCAGAGAACTCCGGGGGGGGGGGGACGAGGAGGGGGGTCTGTGTGTCCAACTCACCCAGTACTGGATCCTCTCTGTCCCATCACTGACTCCAGTTCGTCCAGGAAGATGGTGGACGGGGCGTGGTACCGAGCCAGGAGGAACAGGACCTGCACGAGAACACACACACACACACACACACACACACACACACACACACACACACACACACACACACCCCCACGGTTCTCAGTTGTCCCTCCACAGCAGTGTCGTCAGTGTCAGTGTCAGTGTTGGTGTGGGGCCCCCTCTGTCCTACCCTGACCAGTTTCTCAGAGTCTCCTCTCCACTTGCTGACGATACTGGAGGCTGAGATGTTGAAGAAGGTCGTCTTACACTCCGTGGCCACGGCCTTGGCCAGCAGCGTCTTCCCCGTTCCTGGGAAACACATTCACTTCAAAACATCTCTTCCAGCAGATGGCGCTATAAGTGACTGATTATGTGGCCTATGCCCAGAGCCAGAAGCTGAATGTTTAACTTTGGCTAACGGCTAACGAGAAGATAAATGGTACGACCAGATGGTGGCGGTATTGCAGCAGCAGCAGCAGCAGCAGCAGCAGCAGTAACAGTAACAGCAGCAGCAGCAGTAACAGCAGCAGCCGGGGGGAGGGGGAAAGA